ACTAACCACGTGTACTGTGGAATGAAGTGAACTTGGGAGTAAAAGAGAAAGGAGTTGGTGTCATCTTGGTTCCATTGGTAGCACTTTGCCTTTGGGACTGAAGGTTGTTGGGTCAAACCCCATTTTGGGAGTCAATCATGACACTCCAATACTGGAGAAAATTGTTGGAAGTAGCACCATTCAGTGACGCATTAACCGAGATCCTACTTGCTTGTCATTCAGGTAGATCCCATGATAATATTTGAAGAGAAGAAAATTCTCTTGTCTGTCATAATCCTACAGATAAAACTTCATTCACTTCTGAGCTGTTTGTTGTCTCTTATTGTGCTCAAATAGCTGCTGCGCAAACAAAAACTCAACTCGTCAGTATAGAATATTGACAGGTTGTTTCCTTCTACGTTCACAAAACTGTATTTTCTCCACCACTTTCTCTAAAATGTGTCGAGAGAAAGGCTACCTTGAAAAATAAATGTTACTCTTACAACTTCCTTGAGACTTTTTTAAAAAAATGGTTTCAGAAAACATTTCATGATATTTTTGCTCCCCAGCAATCTGCTCCATACAATCTTGTGTGGCTTGTCTGAGAATATTCACTGCCAGTTTTTAAACAGGGTGCTCTTCTCTCCTCCCAAAGTATGTCACAGATTCACCTCAGGCCAGCTGTGCAGTTGATCCAGTTGTGTATTTCATTCCAAAATTAATCTTCCAATGTAAACCCAATAACAACAACAACTTGGATTTATACATTGCCCTCCAAGCCAGATGGCATCTCAGAGCGCTTCACAATAATGGATCCCGGGGCCGAGCCAGAGGTAGAAGGTGGCTAAAGGCGTGATCGAAAAGAAAGGTCTTTAGCCGAGACCTGAAAGTAGGAAGAGAGGGGGGCGAGGCGAAGGAAGTGAGTAAGGGAGTTCCAGAACCTCGGGGCATAGTGGCTGAAGGCACGGCCGCCGATAGTGGAGCGGAGGATTCAAGGGACAAAGAGGAGACCAGACCCAGTGGAGCGAAGGCAACGGGCACTGTTGTGAGGAGAGAGGAGGTTAGAAAGGTAGGGTGGTGCAGAGGAGTGGAGGGATTTGAAAACAAGAGTGAGGATCTTGAAATCAACCCTCTCTGGGACAGGCAGCCAGTGCAGTCTGGCAAGGACTGGGGGTAATCGGGGAGCGGAATTTGGTACGGTTAAGAATGCGGGCGGCAGAATTCTGGATGGCCTGGATTTTATGAATGGTAGTGGAGGGAAGACTGGCGAGGAGGGCATTTGAATAGGTCAGCCGAGAGGGGCAAAGGCATGGACCAGGATTTTGGTGGCTTTTGGGATGAGACGGGCAATGTATCGGAGGTGAAAGAAAATGGTGCTGGTGAGAGAACGGATGTGGGGGAAGAAGGATAATTGGTGGTCGAACCTGATGCCTAAGCTGCGTACGGGTTCGGAGTTTTAGGGTCAGATCGGGTAGGTGGAGGAGGTGAGAATTGTGCAATTGAAGACGTTGACGAGAGCCAAAGAGTATGGCTTCCGACTTGTCAACATTTAGCTGAAGGAAATTTGCGCTCATCCAGCTCCTGAAGACAGGCAGGCTGACAGAACATCAGGGGACTGGGGGTTTGCAAAGTGAGGTGGAAAAATAGAGTTGGGTGTCATCTGCATACGTGTGGAAGTGTACCCCATGTCTGCGGATGACATCCCGTAGAGGGAACATATAGATTAGGAAGAGGAGGGGGCCAAGGATGGATCCTTGGGGTACCCCGCAGGTAACCGGGTGAGAGCGGGAGGAAAAGCTGTTTGTGGAGATGTATTGCTGGTGGTTTGTGAGGTAGGACTCGAACCAGGCAAGTGCAGTCCCACTGAGGTGGATGACGGAGGAAAAGTGGTGGAGGAGGATGGCATGATTGACTGTGTCGAAAGTGGCAGAGAGGTCCAGGAAGACAAGGAGGCAGAGGGAACCCTGGTCACAGATAGAAAGGATGTCGTTTGAGACTTTCACAAGCGCAGTCTCTGTATTGTGGGCAGGGCGGAAACCGGACAGGAGGGATTCAAAGAGGAAATGGAAGGAGAGGTGAGGGCAGAGACGATTGGCAGCAATGCGTTCTAAGACTTTGGCAAGGAAGGGCAAGTTTGAAATAGGGCGGCAGTGGCTAAGGTTTGAGGGAGGAAGGAGAGATGGGGAGGAAGGAATGTAGGATGCGGGTCGTGATGATGGGGAGGATGAGTGGTACGGAGAGGGTGTGGTGGTGGGTGACAAGAGGCAGGAGGATGAGGCTGCCAAGCGGATATTATTTATTTTAGTTGAAAAGAACACTCCCTCCCCCACCAAAAAAAACTTGATCTGTTTTACTGAATCACAGATCAATAAGAGCAATGCACAGGTACAACATTTTAGTAAGGGAAACTATATCAAATGCGAGGATTAATATTATGGTATTATTATTTAAAAAAGGGGAAGAGCAGAGATGCACTTGGTGGGGGGAGGGGGAGGAAATGATAAAATCTCAACATGATTTACTGGATTCTGACATTTCTTGGGAAGGAGGAGACAGCCACACACTGTCTTAAAAAAATACAATTTGTTTGTTCCAAGCAGTTTTCTTCCCCCACCCATTGCAATCGTAATAAGTTTACTACACCACACGCACACAGACTACCCTCCTCCTGCTCCCTGTATCGTTATACACAATCAAATCATTTAACACTTGAAATCTAGGGACAACTTTTTCAGAAACAACCAAGTATTGAAAACCTTTTTTTTGCTGCTTCTTCTGTCAAAATCTTCTCTCTTGCATGTTAATAATAATCCTTGCATTTGATATAGCGCTTTTCACGTCGGGAGGACGTCCCAAAGCGCTTCACGGAACACACTGTAAAGTGAATTGACTGTATATTTGTGGGCGAACGCGGCAGCCAATTGCGCACAGCAATGTCCCACAAACAGTCGTAGATTGAAAATGACCAATTTATTATTGTTTTTGGTTTTGGAGGGATTATTATTAGGCTCTGTGTGGAGTAAGGAAACTTGCCCAAGGTTTCGCCCTCTGCCTGGAATTGAACTCAGGTCTCTCACTTGCAAAGTGAGTGGTCTAACCACTGAGCTACAGGACTCCACAAATGTTGCCACATATGAGGAGGGTGGGGGAGAGGGTGGAGGGAGAAGGAGAAGGGAGGGGGTTGGAGGAGGAGAGGGGCCGGGGGGAGAGAGGAGGAGGCGAGGGGGCGGGATTGAGAGAGGAGGAGGCGAAGGGGCGGGGGGAGAGAGGAGGAGGGGGCGGAAAGAGGAGGAGGGGGCGGAGAGAGGAGGAGGCGAAGGGGCGGGATTGAGAGAGGAGGAGGCGAAGGGGCGGGGGGGAGAGAGGAGGAGGCGAAGGGGCGGGGGGGAGAGAGGAGGAGGCGAAGGGCGGGGGGAGAGAGGAGGAGGCGAAGGGGCGGGGGGGGAGAGAGGAGGAGGCGAAGGGGCGGGGGGGGAGAGACGAGGCGAAGGGGCGGGGGGGGACGAGGGGGGGCGGGGGAGAGACGAGGCGAGGGGGGGAGAGAGGAGGCGAGGGGGCGGGGGGGAGAGAGGAGGCGAGGGGGCGGGGGGGGAGAGAGGAGGCGAGGGCGGGGGGGAGAGAGGAGGCGAGGGGGCGGGGGGAGAGAGGAGGAGGCGAGGGGGGGGGGAGAGAGGAGGAGGCGAGGGGAGAGAGGAGGAGGCGAGGGGGAGGAGGAGGCGAGGGGGAGGAGGAGGAGGCGAGGGGAGGAGGAGGAGGCGAGGGGGAGAGAGGAGGAGGCGAGGGGAGAGAGGAGGAGGCGAGGGGGAGAGAGGAGGAGGCGAGGGGGAGAGAGGAGGAGGCGAGGGGGAGAGAGGAGGAGGCGAGGGGGAGAGAGGAGGAGGCGAGGGGGAGAGAGGAGGAGGCGAGGGGGAGAGAGGAGGAGGCGAGGGGGAGAGAGGAGGAGGCGAGGGGAGAGAGGAGGAGAGAGGGGGCGGGGGGAGAGAGGAGGAGAGAGGGGGCGGGGGGAGAGAGGAGGAGAGAGGAGGAGGCGAGGGGGAGAGAGAGGAGGCGAGGGGCGGGGGGGGGGGAGAGGAGGCGAGGGGAGAGAGGAGGGGGCGGAGGGGAGAGAGGAGGAGGGGGATAGAGGAGGAGGGGGATAGAGGAGGAGGGGCGGGTGGGAGAGAGGAGGAGAGGGGGGAGAGAGGAGAAGGAGAGGGGGTGGGGGGAGAGAGGGGGAGGAGAGGGGGTGGGGGGGAGAGAGAAGGAAATGGGGAGAAGGAAAGGGGAGGGGGGAGGAAGGGGGGAAAGGAGTAGAGAAGGAAGGAAGGGGGGACGGAGAAGGAAAGAGAGAAGGAAAGGGGGGAGAGGGAAGGAAAGAGGAAAGGGGGGTGGAAGAAGGAAAGAGGAAAGAAGGAAAGGGGGGAAGAAGGAGGGGGGAAGAACGAAAGGGGGAGGGAGGGGGGAAGAAGGAAACGGAGAGGGAGGGGGGGAGGAAGGAAAGAGGAAAGGGGGAAGAAGGAAAGGGGGAAGAAGGAGGGGGGGGAAGAACGAAAGGGGGAGGGAGGGGGGAAGAAGGAGGGGGGAGGGGGGAGAAGGAAAGGGGGAGGGAAGAAGGAGGGGGGGAAGAAGGAAACGGGGAGGGGGGTGGGGAAGAAGGAAAGAGAGAAGGAAAGGGGGGAGGGGCAAAAAAAAAGCAAGAAGAAACCCCGAAAAAAAAAGGATTTGGGCAGAAGCAGCAGCAAAAAAAAATAAAAGAAATCACACCCACACACACACACACACACGATGTGGGCGCGGGGTTCGCCCCTCACCACCTCAGCACTTAATTTAACGGATAGAAAAGAGTGTGTTTTTAATGGCTGTTGGGGGTGGAACCAAGAATCAAGACAATGTAAAGCCTCTCCTCTCTCCCCCCTCCCAACCCCAACCCCCTCACCACCACCCTTTCTCCTTCCTCTTCTTTCCTCTCCTCTCCTCCCTCTCTCCCTCCCTCCCTCCCCGGGAGCCTTGTACCGAGAACCGAGCGGTGTAAAACGGGTTACCTTGATAACATTCTCGAAGATGGTGTCCCTGAACTCCTCCAGCGCTTTGCTGTCGAAGTCGCGGCCGTGGATGATCCTCATCTGCTTGAGGAAAGTGCTCTTGCCGCTCTCGCCCGCCCCGAGCAGCAGGATCTTGACCAGCCGGCGGACGTAGCGCCTCTCCCGGGCCAGCGAGGCGTCGATCTCCCGGCTCCTCCGGCGTTGAGCCCGGTCGCTCTGACTGGACTGACAGGCCGGGAAGCAGGCGCTCAGCCGCTGGACAAACTCGGCCATCTCTCTCTCTCTCTCCCTCTCTCTCTCTCGCGCGCGCGCTCTCGCTCTCTCTCCGTCGTCTCTGTCCCACCTCACACAACGGAGGCCTTCGTTTCAAACTTAACGGCTATTTTTTTTTCCCCCCTCGAACAATAAACCTTAACACACACACACAACCGGAGCGGCGGAGAGGGCGGACGCGTTGTTTTTATATGTTAATTAAAAATCCTGTCAGGTTCTCTCGGCCCCCACTCCCCTCCCCTCCGACGCCCGAATCTCAACGCTTCATCGACGACGCCACCGCCGCCCACTCCATTCATTGCTTTGCCCTCCGACTGACTGACTGACTGACTCGACTGCGCTTTCGCTCGAGCGGATGAACCATCCGGCGGGGGGGGCGGGAGCGGGAGGTGGGAGGCGGGCGGTGGTGGGGTGACGCTCCTATTGGTCGGCGCCCTTGTCCATCCGCGCGGTTCGCCTTCTCCATTGGACGACCTGGCTGTCCATCACGCGGAGGCGGGGGGGGCGGGGAGAGGGCGGGCAGAGGCGGTCAGCGAGCTTCAAGGATACTTCTGATTGGTCAATGGAGGGCGAGTCAATCACTGCCGCTCCCGCCCACTTTTGTCAGGTTGGGTCCCGCCCAAAAAAAACACACCAGGGCGCGCGTGTGGAGGAGGAGCGAGGAGAAGGCGGGATTAAGGGCGAGGGGGAGGCGAGTGATTGGTCTGCCCTGCGCGTCAAACAAGGCGGAGGAGCGCTCTGATTCGACGAAGGCGCTGTCAATCCATCCCGCTCCGCCTTGTTACAGACCCCGCCCCCAAACACGCACACCGCCTCTTTGCACCACAAACAACAACAACAACATTACCTTGTACTCACATAGCGCCCTCCCTCCACGCAGGGGAACGGCTCCGAGCCGGGGGTGGGGAGGGGGGGAGGTGGCCATAAGCGCGGCCGAAGAGGAAGGTGTTCGGGCGAGACCTGACGGAGGGGGGCAAGGCGGGGGTAGTGAGGGACAGCGTTCCAGAGTTTCGGGGCTGAAAGCGCGACCGCCGATGGTGGGGAGGAGGGCGCGAGGGACGAGCAGGAGGCCGGTGCCGGTCGAGCGGGGGGAGGGGGGGGGTGAGGAGGTCGGAGAGGGAAGGAGGTGCCAGGGAGCGAAGGGTTTTGAACACAAGTGCGAGGATCTTGAAGTCGAAAGTGGTCATCTTTTGCAGCTTTTACTCACTCTTTTACTCAATTCTTCCTTTACGTCGCATGGAAGGTGGTTGTTCACCTCGAAATTGAGTGATGTTTGCCTCCTTTGGACATCAGTCATCTCTGATTGACTGATGGTCCCTTTTTATTGTTTGCCTGTCAATTAAACCATGTCTTATACCCTTCCCCATCTCTTGGCTTCAGTGTCAATCTTCTTGACATCCTTTCTAAAGTGTAGTTTCCAACTGAACACAGAACTCCAGCTGAGGCCTAACCAGTGTTTTATAAAGGTTCATCATAACTTCCTGACTTTTGTATTCTATGCCCCTATTTATAAAGCCAAGTATCCCATATACTTTTTTTAACAGCTTTATCTACCTGTCCTGCCACCTTCAAAGATTTGCTTATGTGGACCCACAGGTCTCTCTGTTCCTTCACCCCCTTTAAGATGGTACCATCAGCTTATATTGCCTCTCTTCATCCTTCCTGCCAAAATGTATCACTTTGCATTTCTCCACATTAAACTTCATCTGCCACGTGTCTGCCCATTGCACCAGTCTGTCTATGTCCCCTTGCAGTCTGCTACTATCGTCCTCATTGTTTACTACTTTTCCAGCTTAGTATCATCTCCAAACTTGGAAATTGTACTCCCTATACCCAAGTCCAGGTCATTTATATAGATCAAAAACAGCAGTGGTCCCAATACTGACCCCTGGGGGACACCACTGCACACTTCCCCCCCAGTCAGAAAAACAACTGTTCACCACCACTCTCTGCTTTCTGTCCCCCATTTAATACCGTGGGCTTCAATTTTTCTGACAAGTCTATGATGTGGCACTTTATCAAAAGCCTTTTCGAAAATCCATATAAACTACATCAACTGCACTACCTTCATCCACCCTCTCCGTTACTTCATCAAAAAAACTATCAGGTGTGTTAGACATGATTTGCCTTTAACAAATCTGTGTTGGCTATCCTTTATTAACCCATATTTTTCTAAGTGAAAATTTATTTTGTCCTGGATTAACGTCTCTAGAAGTTTCTCCACGACTGACGTCAGGCTGACTGGCCCGTAGTTCCTTCTTTTTGGAAAACCTTCACTTCTTTACCCTCTACCCAAGACCATGCAGCACACCGTAATTGAGTAGTAAATCAAGAGAGCAGTGCCTAGGCCTTTGTCAACACCACCCTAATTGGTCACTCAATTGACAACTGTTTGTGGGACGCTGCTGTGTGCAATTGGCTGCCGCATTTCGCCCACAAAATATACAGTCAATTCACTTTCAGTGTATTATGTGAAGCATTTTGAGACCTCTCGAAGATGCAATAAACTGCTATATCAAAAGCAAAGATTATTATTAGTATAACAATTGATTTGTTGATTTTTTTCCTGATGAACCAAGTTGTTAATGTAAATACTGTAAACATACACAAATGTATGGATATTGTAGCCAATCAAACATTAGGGAATGAACACAAGTTCAATAATAGTATGTTAGAACTGCTTATGCTGTACACCATGTACTTAGCCCCTCCAGGCAATATTTTCTCTTATTCATTCAGCAGCATGGCTTTTGTTTTAAGCTGCTCAATAATTACATTATTGGAATGCACTATCCGTGTGTTGGCACAGCAGAAATTTGTTGTTCTCTCGGAGAGGAACTAGACTCATGAAATACATTGCTCAAGCAGAATGAAAGCCAAAGCACTAATAGGTAAGTGGTCCTAGCCAGACAAGCAGTAGGGAACTTGCCAGACAGTACTCTCAATGGCAAGTGATATGGTTTAAGCTGATTAAACTCCTCATCAGTATCCCAACGCACACTCTGGGGCCCTCAAGCCTTGGATTTCGCTAACCTGTGCCTAATGAATTAGGTGAGCAGGGTGCGACCCCCCCAGGGAGAGAGTGCGCACACCATCCCAGACACAGGGAAATTTCTATGTATAGACGGCATGCATATGTGAAACTCTCAGTCTAGTTTGGATACACTGGAGTTTGGTGATGGGTTTCCGCATGTGTCAGACACCCGGCTGACCAAAAATATTCAGAAATGAAGAATGAACAGGAGTTTCAATCAAAACAATGCCCTGAGGTCCAATGCGATACACAAACAAGTTAATCATTAACTCACTTTCGCTCTATATTGATGCATTACTGGAAATCTATTGTTCCACCTGCAAGCACCTCCAAAAGTAATAAAATACGAAAGGGGTGTAATACTGAAGCAAAATAGAAAATGTACGAGTTTGTGTATGTACAGGTTTTGTGTGTGTTTGTAGTTTTCCATTTGAGTGGATGTGCATGACGTGTTTCAATGGATGTATGCGTTTATATTAATTGTGCATGGATGCATTTGCATTATTAGGTGCACTTTTGCGCATACACAGCAGCATGCAGACATGCATTGCGTGTTTCCCCATGAAGGCCCGTTGAAAAAAATGTGGACCATCGTGTGCATTTATTCCAGTTGCTGCTGTAAGAAGCACACAACTGGCAAAGGCTTCCAGTGATTTATGTCCTGGGTCAGGAATGTGTCAGTCTCTCCAGCTGCATGTTATCACAGAGGACAAACAACGCTCATCAAAAAAAAGCCGTCTCTCGGGATCCCGAAGGCCGAGCATGTATTCAAATCGCAGCCTTTCGGCTTACTGGAAGATATAAATTGAGAACAAAGGTATTAGTGAAATGATAATCACGATGATGATTTTAGCAATCTCCTAGTAATTTATTTAGCACTTCTCTCTCCTTCCCTCGCCACCCTCATCCCGTCCACTCCCTCATGTCAAGGTGTTGATTCTTGCTGACTATGTCTCCGCAGGCCTCAACAGCTCTCAGATTCCTCATCCATCCCAGTGGCCTTTCTTCATGTGTGAACCTGGAGAGGAAGTACAGGCAGAGAATTCAACCACAAACGACAGCAGTCGTGAACGGCTGGATCCTACACTCACCTGATCGAGACGTCTTGATGATATGATAATGGCTTGTATCAAACGCAAGGATTATTATAGATTGGTTGGTCAATAAATAACACCACCCTTTATATCTATAAAAGTGCCCTGGCTGACAATCCTCTCCCCACCCCCCCACCAAGAAAAGCAGTCAGACATTCACTTTGTGACTATTTGTGCTTGTGTGCAAGTTGGCTGCTGTGTTGGCAAACAAAATGTACAATCACTCCACTTTTCATTTTATGCTCTGAATCGCTTTGTGACATTCGCCTGACGTAAGAGGCTCTGTATTCAGTGCAAATCTTTAAATGAATATTACAATTGTTATTCTAAATAGTTTCACTTTCAGACTTCACACAAGTAAAGAAGCAAACCTAATGCTTGCCTTCATTCCTTTCAAGGCAAAACTTAGATTTCTATGTCAGACTTAGCTACGATTTCCTCTTTATTTTGAGAGCTTGTGAGAGTTTTTTTTAATAACATATCATTCCTTTTTTACAGTCCTGATCCCTCTAGCCTTCGAAATTTGCAGGATTTTGTAACATTGCATTTCTTAGTACAGTATCATCGACAGAACCATATGTATCATTCCAGTGAGACCATATCACTACAATATGAATCCCACAACAGTACTGCTGCATATCCACGCTTCATTTCCATCCACTCTTTTTTGCGCAGCCCCATTATATTCTCCAATTTTCATCCAGTAGATCATTTTCTTAAAAAATACTCTTCAGCTTAAGGTACGTCGTTTAAAGAATGAAAATGTGAGCGTGTTTTGAAACAATATCAACCACTGGGGAATTCAGATGACATTCATAACTCTCTAGAGCTTTGCTCTATAGATTCTCAGTGCAATATGAACCCTTTGATGTGTTTCTGTCTTGCAACAAACTCGAGTATCAGCCTTCCTACAGACAACAGACTTTCAGGTATCTATTACTTTACGTGTAGTTACGCATTTACTCTTTGTAACACACTCGGAGAACAGACTCCTAGATTTCTTTGTGGCTATTAACATGGATATTATTTCTCTGACATCATGAGGTTAACACCCGGAACCAATGTCACCAGAGCTGGTGCGGAGAGGAGTTCCTCAATGGCGGATCTTTGCAAGCCTGTTTTTTTTCCGCGGAATTCTGTAGCATAGTGGTTAGCACGCTCACCTTTGCAACTGAGAGG